GGGGGGGCCTGGGATGGATTGAGACAGGTGGACACATGGGCACAGTGACCAGGACTTACCAGAAAGGAGCAAAGGAAGATGAAGAAGACGAAGTAGAAGCAGGCAATGTCGCTCCCACACTCACTGGCATTGGCGTGCTCGTCACAGGCCTGGTTGCTGAGACAAGATGGCTTGATCTCATGCCAGGCCTCCCCAGTGGCACTCCTGAGAAGAAAGGCAGAGCCATGACCCACAAAGGAAGGCCCAGGCCAGCCTGAGAAGAAATCTCAGAAGAGCTGGTTCAAGTGCATACCCTCCCTGGGCTCCCTCCCACAGAGAACCCACTCATATGTAAGGTCTAGGTAAGAGATGCCTACTTCTTAAAAAGAATCCTCTGGCATTAGGTTTTCAAACTGATCATTAACTCGGAAAGAACTAGTTACTGAAAACAAGGCACTGCACCAAAAGTCAGCACTATGGTGAGCGCCCCTTCATGGACCTCTGGCACCTCGAAGCCAACACAGCCCTTCCTGGCCTCCCTCACCCAGCATGTGCCATCCCAGCCTTCCCTGATTCAAGAAATGGGGGCTCCATCCCGTTTCTTAGGCCAAATATACTGCAGGCATCCCTGCCTCCATTCCTTCTCACCAGGTTCATCAGCTCATCTACCTTCAAAAACCAGCTAGACTCTTACCACTTCTCAGCACACTGGGCTGAGCAACAACCACCTCCCCTGAGCTGCTACAATAGCTTCCCCACAGATCTTCCTACTCTGCCCCATCCAACAGCCAAGTGGGTCCACTACACACAGGTGAGATCAGGTCACTTTTCCTCTCAATGACCCCTCACTCACTGCAAAAGCCAACATTCACACAACTGCCCACAGCTCTGTGAAACTCTCAGCCTGCTCTTTCCCTGTGGTCTCTGCTCAGTCCACTCCAGCCACACCAGCGTCTGCTGTTTCCCACAAGCCTGAGTGGCCACCTTGGAGGACCTTTCTTCATGGACTTATGTCCCTGGGTGTGCGGCCAGCACGAGGGCCAGATGTGCACTAGACTTGCAGGCAGACCAGAGGCCTGGGCGCCACCCCCGACACTGGGTGTGCCTGCATGGCCAGCTCTCGGCACAAGTGGAGCCCACCTCCCATTAACAATGGCTAGGAGGAGGGGGCGTTTCCTGCAGGGCAACTGTCCAATGTCAGGCCTGACTTATACTGGTGTTCATACGTGACACAGAGACCAGGGCATAAAAGAGATCTTTCAGAACAAAGACTTAAAGCTAAGGCTGGTTTCATAGGCCTGCCTCCACTCTTGTAGCACAAGGCAGGACATTAATAAATGAAGAGATGAAATGAACGTAATAGCTAAAGTCCAGAGAAATGATGTCATTTGGAGAAAGTGTAGGCCTAAGGATACTTGTCCATCTGATTAAAAAACCAAGAGTCAGACAACTCTCTCCAGGCAGCTTAGCTAAGCGGATCGGTCTGATCTCCCTCCATAAAAAGAAGGACCTCCAGGGGCCCTGGAATGCATCTGCCTGGGATTAACCGTGCTGGACACCTCCCAGCACAGGCCTTACAACATCCTGGTGCAACTGCATAAACAAACACACATGTGGGCACCTCAAGAAGGAGCCCCAGGCAGGGTTTTATGTCAGCACCCCTCGTCCACAAGTCCCTACGAAGAGCACCTTTCTTCCCTCCTAGGGTCATGTGGTGGGCTTGCCTTAACGAATGGGACCCTGGAGGCAGTGAGACACATTCACCCCCTCCCCACAGCCCCCAAACCAGGATGGGCCACAGAGAGTGTGTCACGTCTCGGAACAAAA